AAGGTTCTTCGGTTTTCTTTCCCTTAAAATAACTAACAGACCTCAATGTTTATTAACATTTGTTGATTTCACATTTTTCTTCCTGGCAATAAATTATGATGAATGTTATTCAGCTGCTGAACTTTAATACTTAAGTTATCTGACTATTAATTTGGTTAATAAAGTTTGGATGCTGTTTATGTTTTGTTGAGTATTGTAAATTTTATTTACGGTTCAAGCAAAACCCCTTGGGCACAGTTATGTATTGGGGAAATTCAGAGTGAGAGATACACAGAATTTCTCACTCTAGTAAGAAGAACCAGACAGAAATGTTACTCATTGGGTAGCTATTAACATCAGTGTTTAAACAATGAAAAGAAATTGTTCCTTAGCTATGATATACCCATATACTTTGTGTATTACATAGCTTCAAGACTTTAAATACACTGCGTAGAACATGTTTAAGTTTCCGTGAGTTCTGTTATTTGTCAATGTAGGGTTTCCTGCTTGGCAGTCTCTTCTATTTATGATGGCATCTGTTACTGCATTTGCACTGAAACTTGTCTTTTGGCCAGTTGAAGAGAGAAGGGAAAAAGAAAGCAAAGTAGACTTGACTTTTTGGCAGTGAAGCAGTAGCCTCTTGTTACTTGCATCCATATATTCCAGGAATGCCGAAGGCAACTGTAGTTGTGTGCTGTAGTTGCACTCTATATGACTGACTACAGTTGCAGAGTATAGACTTGTATAATATTAAAACCCATGAGCTGGTGTATGGCTGGGCAGGTAAAGGCACTGCCTGTAATGCTGACGTTTAATATGGGCACTGGTTATTGTTCCAGCTGCTCCACTTCTAATCCAGCTCTGTGCTAATGACGTGGGAAAGCAGTGAAGGATGACACAAGTGCCTGAGACCCCATCACTCACACCGGAGATGAGGAGGAAGCCTCTGATTCCTGGGCTCAGTCTTGGCTCATCCCGGCTGCTGTGACCATTTGAGTGTGAGCCAGTGCATAGATCTATCTTTGCCTCTCCCTCTCTGAAACTGCATTTTAAATAGATAAATAAGTTTTAAAAGTAATACTCAACCCCAAATTTAAAGAGTAGGGTAATCCTGATTTGGCACTGTTTCCATGAAATTTTTAGGAAATTTTTATTTAGTTTTATTTTTGATAATGTTTACATAGTTGAGAAGGACAGATGCACATGTGAGCCACTGGTTAAGGCAGGAAGGGGTCGAGGAATGGAGGAACATGGATGAGACAATTGTTTGTGTTTTTAATGGGAGTTTATCCTGTTTAGACTAATGCTTCTTTTGGTTTTTTAGATTTATTTTTGTTGAAAGGACAGATTTACAGACAGAAGGAGCTACAGAAAGATCTTCCATCTACTGGTTCACTCCCCAAATGGGCACAAAGGCTGGAGCTGAGCTGATCAGTAGCCAGGAGCTTTTTTCAGGTCTCTCATGTGTGTGCAGGATCCCAAGGCATTGGGCCATCCTCTGCTGTTTTCCCAAGCCACGAAGGCGAACTGGTTGTGAACTGGAGCAGCCAGGACATGAAACAGCCCCTGGGCACTTGAATTTGGAGGATTAGCCAGTCGAGCCAAAGTGCCAGCCCCTTGTTTTGTTTCAATAATTTTTAAAGTCAGTATTATCTATACTTTTATTTTCCTAGAGCAAGTGAAAATTAATCAGTTACTTTTTAAAAGAAATTTATTTTGGGCCCTGCACAATGGCTCAGTAACTAAATCCTTCCCTTGCAAGAGCAGGTATCTCATATGGACATAACTTGTGTCCTGGCTCCACTTCCGATCCATCTCCCTGTTTGTGACCTGGGAAAGCAGTAGAGGATGGCCCAAAGCCTTGGGACCTGCACCCACGTGAAAGACTTTTTTCTGTTTGGCTGTGATGGACTTGGTACATGGAGCCAGTAATCATACAGGTGGACTACTGACTGATGGTCAGTAGCCAAAGTTTATTAACATCAGACTTTTAAAGACAGAGTAACATAGACAAGAAGAAAGGTTTGAGGAAGTGATTGAATTGTTAACAGCAGGAGGGGGTTTACTAGTAAACAATTTGAAAAGGCACTCACTGGATTGCATCTGGCTATGGCTCTACACTGGCAAGGCTCACCAGCATCCTCTCAATCAATTGTCTTTCTACTTAGATCTGGAAGATGCTCATGGCCCCTGGCTTTGAATCAGCTCAGCACAAGCTGTTGCTGGCATTTGGGGAGTGAACTTGCAGATGGTAGATGCTTGTCCTATTTTCTCTGTAAATCTGATCTGCCTTTCCAATAAAAATAAATAAATCTTTATATAAAGACCATGCTGTTTCAGGGTTGGAAGGCATTTGGTTATCCTCCTCCACTTTCCCAGGGCGTAAGCAGGCAACTGGATGGGAATTGGAGCAGCCAGTTCATGAACCAGTGCCCTTAAGGCAAGCTGGCACTTTCGGCTGGAGGATTAGCCAATTGAGTCACTGGGCCAGGTGCCTTGTTTTAATAGGGAAAAAAAGTCAATAGTGTTATCTAGGCTTTCATTTTCTTAGAGCAAGTGAGAATTAAATGGTAAATTACTTTTCAAAAAGTTCTGTTGTGAGTCTAATAAGCTTATACACCTACTGTGTAAGTCTGTAAAATTTAATTTTCACAATTACTATCTTCAGACATCCACAGGAGTACCTTTTAATTAAAGACATAGAAGCAGTTCATTGTTAATGAAATAATATTGACAAACTATATGCATTGCCTTTGTGCTTTTGTAGATTTTGTCCATTATAATTAATGTGTTTTTCAACTCTGGATACCTTGAAGTCACAGTTATTACTATAAGAATATTGTACATGCCTCAATCATATTGCATGACTGTACTCTAGTCTCCAGAGGATTATAAAATGAATACAGTGGTGGGGCTACTAATAAAAACCAGAATGCAGTGTGGAGACAAAAATCCAATACTTAGTTCTTGATTGCTTGAGTTAAAATGTTTGCCTGATGAACATCTTCAGATAAAACAGGCCTGGAGGTTGGAGGGATCCAAAAGACTTAAGGGAAGCCTGGAGACTTTATTCTGTTGTAGAGAAATAATATTAGATACAATGTTGGAACTCAAAATGGAGAGCAGCTGTGTATCTGTCACAAAGGAGGAGAAATCAAACACCTGTGAGAAGTACTTTGCTCACTGTGGAGAATTCTAAGAAGTAAGTATGGAGAAGGGTGGAAAGCACAATTTTAATATAATAGATATTCACACTTTTCTAGTAGTTTATAATTTGTAAGAGATTTCTATATAATTCTCATGTAACCTAAACACATGTATTGCGTTATGTTTCATACTCTTATTTTAAAAATAAGAAGTAAAAAAAAAATGGGGAATTGTTTTTTAAGAGTGTAAGTGAAGATTAATTTCAGCTTTTATGATCTATAAAGAAAAGTAAAATTAAGGGGGAGTGGAGAGCAGGGACAAACAAGAGTGTAGCAATTTTTTTTTTTTGTATTTTGCTAACTTAGTGAAACGTGTCTTCGAAAGTAAAAACAGGTGTTTTATTTAGAAAACATATCTTCTGTAGAGGTGAAATCTGATTTAAATGTATTTCATTTTATAAAATGCATCAAATATTTTACTTTTCTTAAATTATTTCTGCCTTTAAAAAAACTATTCATATAGTCATTTTTTTCAGTTGCTTATGTGTCACTTCAATAAAAAAATTTTGATGTGAAATCAGAAGGGGTATCATAATCATTAGTAGTTTATAACTGGTTTTATTTCTATAAGGTGAACCAATGTCATGTATTTCACAATATAGATTCAAGAGCCTGGTGGTAGTCTCCCCTCCCCCTGAGTCCCACCAGCATCCCCAACCCAACCCTCTCCTCACTTTTTTTTCTTTTTTTTAAAAATTAAACGCATACTGTCATTTTACTTTACAATTACAGATTTGCTCACTAGATGAAGATTTCAATATATAACAAGTAGAAAAAGCCTGCTAGTCCTCAAGAATCTAAACAAAAGCTGTAAATAATAATCATATCAAAATGTCAATCATATAGATTACTCATTTAGGCACTCTGCATTACCACAGGTCAGGGAAAGCGTAATTGTCATTTTGTTTTTTTCCCAAAGTATAATGCATTTAGTATAAGTTTTTGAGAATGATGCTTGAAAAATGATTTTAGAAAGTTTAATATTGCTGAAATGGTTTTATATGAAATGGCATCCATCTTTCACACGGAAATCACCAACAATGAAGAATTTGGAGAAAATTTTAAGAAGTTGCTTGGAAGACTAAGTGGTTATTAGTATATGTAAAAAACATACATGAAAAATATTTCCCTCAAATATGATTGAAAATACCGTAATTGGATTGTTTTTAAGGTTCTGCTCATTGAATTCAGCACTGGCTGGAGTTTTAAACTCAGGAGGAATGTGTAAATTGATTTTACTTATAGAACTTAAGTTCCATTTAGCATTCCTCTTTTGTATTCTGAAACATAATATTTGATTTGGGAATTTGAAAAAAAAAAGCTCATTTCAAATATATAATTTTTTGTGTTAAAACTCTAAATTTCAAGATTTCAGAAATATTTAAGAGGCAGAATGAGGGCAGGGTGGCTCTGAAGGAAGGCAGAGAGGGAGAGGAAGTAGAAGAAAGAGTAAGAGGAAGGAAGGCTGATTGGCACACACTTACCTCCGCTAGGCCATTCCCCAAATGTCTACAACGGCTGGGGACTGGGCCAGGCCAAAAATTTCAAACCTGGAACTCAATTCAAATCTCCTTAAAGGGTGACAGATACTGTTTGGGCTTCGGCCAATGTCACTCAGATTCTGCATTAGCTGGAATGTGAAGCTGAGAACTGGAGTTGGATATGAAACCCAGGACATGCAATGTGGGATGCGGAAAGTGCTGTTTACAGAAAATTATGTAAAACATTTTGAACAATCCATTCAATAGATGCAAACACATATTATGGGAAAAAACGTCTATTTTGGCGTTGATGCTCAGATTTGAAAGAAACTTCACAAGAGGTCTATTTAAGTGACCTGCAGGATACTCTCCAGTAGGTTAGATTGAAGAGAAGTTGGGAAACAAGGAACACTAAATATGGCATATCTTCACTGATAGTATATTGTAAGCTTAATTTCATTGTTTCTAGCTTTTGGTCTAACATTTAAAACATCACTGTGGCTCCAACTGTTGAATCTGGGTAAACAAAATTATTAGCATTGCAGCAAATTTCAGAAATGAAATATTTGAAAAATAGCAAGCTGGTCAGGGAAAGAAAAAAGAATCAAATGCTTCAGCAGAACCTGCTTTCTGAAGATAAAGTCAAAATATGAGCATATAAAATGTTAGTGCCTGTTAGTAAGTTTCCAGAAAACAAGTGAAGAGTTGGGCTTTAAGAGTGGGAGTAATAGTGATTTTTACCCTCCCCCCCCCCATTTATAGACTGTCTTACTGTTTCAGGACCATTTCTTTTTGCATTAAAATTCAGGAAGACCAATTTAAAATAACAAATTACATCAAAGGAAATCTGGAATATATAAACATCTCTTAGGATAGATTGTTCTGCCACAGGTAGTATGGTGCATATAGGAAATATTTTATACCACAAAATGTTAATTTAATGATATTAAATTCCAGTGAGCAGACATTGCCATATTTGGAAGGGAATTAGAGTATCTGGAAGGAAATTCGACCATCCCTCCATCCTCTGGACTAAGGTAAGCAGCGGAATCTGGTTTATACCTGTAGTGAAAAGATGATCAGCTTGGATTACCAGTTGTCACTGATGATGTTCCAGTTTGTAAAGCACTAAGTACATCTCTAATTTGCTGAGTTAGTAGGATTTTTGAGCTTCATTTTAATTCAGCTAAATCTTGGATCTTCACTCTCGATTTTGCATCATGAAAGGTCAGGGTTTGCTGTTCTGCCATGTGATGGTCTGACAGGTTTTCACTTAATACGATTTAGTTAGAAGAATATGTAGCATTGTGGCTGGTTTGAATTGCATGAAATTAGATAGTAGAAGCCAACTCAGGCCACACATTCTTAAGACCTAAATGCTGAACCTGCAGAGTGCATATCGCTGTTTTGGATGCTGCCAAATAGGAGTCACCCAGGCTATGTGCAGCAGACGGGTGTGGTCTAAAAATGACTTGAACTTTCCAAATTTCCTGGCTGTTTTCCTCTTTGGACAACTCCAAAGCAGTTTCCTTCATCATTGAAGCCAACTCTACATAGTCTTTCTTTTTTGATTAAGGGAGAGAAATTGGGAAGAAAAAGGCCATGGCTGAACCCACAGCTTAATTTCCAAGTCTGTGTGGAACTTCAATGAACAAAATAACAGTATCTATCAAAAACTAAATTAGGGAAGTGTACTAAATTTATCCATCTGTCTTAATCTTTAGATTTAATTCTTCCTTAAATTTTACTTCTACATGAACTGACTAGATTTTATCCTAGCTTTACTTTAAACAGCAGGATAAGTAGTAATGTTTTCCTACAAAATTGTAGTCTCTTACTTCTTAGGCTGTTGACCAGCGCTGTTAGATCATGTTTCTATTGATAGAACTCAACGTTACGTCTTAATTCTCCACCACTGTTTTACTTACATCAAATACAGGGCAAGAAATCTATTACCTAGCTAGAGTAACATGAACATTTTTCTGACATGAAATTTTGATGTGGCACGCTCAATTATATTGTTTTAATTTTTCAAATTTGCCAATAATTCTATCTAAATTATAGACCCTTAATGGTGTTTAAAGTAATTATTTAGTGTCTATATCTAGCAAAATCATCTAGCCTTACTCTGCAAAATATATGGAATTTATCTATGCTCAGGTTCATAGTTGTTTTCACATCTATGGTAACTTCTGATTATAAAAACTCAAAAAACTAGATCATACTTCTCAAGGGGCAGGTATCTCCTCAACTTTGACTTTCTGATATTAATTCCCCTCTAGCTCTTCTAATCTTTAGTCTTGCTTAATTATAGGGATCATTATTTTTGTTGACTGAATTTAGTTTCGTTCGTGAAATTACAGTCAGTAGGAATTTATATATGTATACATATTTGGCATATATTTGAATATTAACGGTCATTATAACCAAAATGTTATTCCAACTTCAAATAACTAGGCTTTTTAATGAGAACTTTGTGCAGAACTCTTCCTTTTGAAATGTTTTTTTATGTACAGTACTGTTTTATTGATCTAAAAAAGTCAGACTCCCAACAGTAAAGAACATTTGAAAGAAACACTGATGCAAAAGACAAACACCTTGAATATATCAGAGATCCCTGACATTTTTTCTTCCTTATAGCAACGCTTGATTTGTTAGAAGTCACTTACTACGTGTTTTTTCATGTACATGTTCATTCTTTTTAAAAGACTACATTCTAAAATATTCTTTTTCTTTCTGTCTTTCTTGAAATTTGAAATTACTTTTTTTTTTTTTGGTGGACATGTGAAGACAGATTATCCATGTGGGTTCAGGTCAACTACATGTAATTACTAAATTAGATTAAACCCTCCGTTGTAGCAAAGAAGCAGGGTAAGCAAGAGTAGGGAACTGTAGACTGTGTGCTAGAGATCCACAAGAAATAGCACAGAAATAAGACAGAAAATATACCGCAGTGTGGGAAGCAGGAAAGCTGAGTTGATCACTAAAGGAAGATGGACATCTGGATGTATATTTTTGGATAGTAGATACCCAAAGCTGTATTTTGAACACATTTAAAAATACTGGATAAAATAAAGCATACTGTATATTGATTAAATGGTGGGTTGAAAATGCTCCCAAATAAAGAAAGCCAGGAACCACAGGATAAATGACAAATCCAATGTTTGTGTAAGGATTTCACCTGAATTCTGTATTACTAGATTTCCATTTTGGCAGGTTCTGGTCTATGAAGGATAGTAAATTAAGATTCAATATTCACCTACAGTAGGAAACACAATAGAATATCCATGTACAAATCTGAGATGTGTGAAAGTAAAACAAAAATCAAAGGAACTTTCAATGCTAGGTAATTGTATATATGCATATACACACAAGTTGGCCCTCTGTGGGTCTGGAAGAAGTCTCAAGGGTTTATCTTAGAATGTTGCTGTATGCACAGATGACTGTCAGAAACAAAACAAAAAAAACAACAGCCAGGGGTGTGCAGGCCCAACAAAGAGCCGAGAATTTCATCCAAGTTTCTCACCTGGACGATCCATTACCTGCCTGTTCACCGGGTGCTGTGGCAGGAAACCAGGTGCATTGGAGCAAAAGGGGCTCAAACTGGTCCTGAATTGTAAGATCCTGGTCTTGCCAGCAGAAACTTAAATTGCTGTGCCAGAACCCTGGCTGCTATGACTGCCTATTAAAAAAAAAATTCTGCTAAGATACAATTGATTAAAAAAAATTCTGTTAAAAAACAGATAAAAAAAAAAACATTCTTCCTTTTTACAGTTTGTTATGTTGGGACATATGTGTGCACCCATGAAACTGTCCCTACAGCGGAGGAAATAGACATTCTTCCGCTCCAGATTCTACCCACATTTCTTAGCTTTTTGTTGTTGTGGTGAATGTATTAAATCTGTCACAATACTATAAGCTATAGGCTCGATTGTAAAGCATATCCTTAGAACATGTTCAATTTGTTAAAGTGAAATTTCAGTCTTTGATAACTCCCTATTTCTCCATCACCAGAAACCTGTGAAACCTCTGCTAATCACCATCCTACCCTCTGCTTCTGAAAGTTGAAATATTTTAGGAATCTCATGAGCGAAATCATGCAGCAGTTCTGTGACTACTTGTTTTACTTAGCACAGAGTCCTCATGGTTAATCCATATAATTTCATTTGGCAAGAGACTTCTTTTTAAAGAGTGAGTAATTGTGTGTGTGTGTGTGTGTGTGTGTGTGTGTGTGTGTGTGTATGAATACAAAGAAAATATAATACTGTGATATACTTGTGTGTACATATATCCACTGATATATCAGTGTACATTTGGGTTATTTCCATATCTTGGCTGGCATAAATACCCCTGTAGTAAACATGGAAAGGCAGATAATTGTTTCATATGTTCACTGTAATTCTTTTATACATAAATATTCAGAGGTAGAATCACTGGCTTATATGAAAGTTTTATTTTTCATTTCTTAAAGTATTTCAGTTCTGTTTTTCTTAACAGTTCTACAGTTTTATATTCCCATCAGCAGTGTTCTTAATATCCTTGACAACAGTTGTTTTATATATAAAACCTCCTAACATATAAAATGATAACGCATTGTGATTTTCGCTTGCATTGCCCTGGTATTGGTGGTGCTGAAATACCTTTTCGTGTAACTACTGGATATGGACTATAGTTTTTGTTTTGTTTTGTTTTCTGATAATGCCTGTCTAATATTGGTCTCAGGACAATTCTGGTCCCATAATGTGAGTTGAAAAGTGTTCCTTCCTCTTAAGAAGAGTCATTGTTGATTCTTTAAATGTTTGGTAGAATTTACCTGCACACACATACGCTCCGAGACTTGCCTTCTTTGGGAGTTTTTGATAGAGTCAATTTCTGTACTCATTATTGATTTGCTAAGGTTTTGCACTTATTTGTCATTGTTGTTGTTTCTAAGAATTAATGAATTTAGATTCTTAAATATTTTTGTCAATGATCATCCACAGATTGTTTTCTCCTTGGAATTGGTTGAATTACCTGTGCTGTATTTCTGACCTTACTTACATCTTTTTTTCGTTCAGATAATACAGTGAAGCATTGTTAATTTTTTGTGTTTTTGAAAGAGCACCTCTTATGTTGAATTTATATTTTGCTTATTCTCTAAACTTCTTGTCAAAATTAATCTTTTTCCATTATTTGAGGTGTAAAGATAGCTGGTTTTTAATTTTCTTTCTTTTGTAATGTGAAAGTTTATCACTATATACTTCACTTTGTAGTACTTTTTCCTGCGTGCCCTATGTTGTGGGAGATTGTATCTCTTCATTTGGCTACAAATATTTTCAAATTTGTTTGATTTCTTCTTTTACCAACTGTTCGCTATGGAGTTTGTTGTTTATCTATACATATGCACAAGTTTTTCCTTTTTTCTTTTTTAACTGCTGTTGGTTTCTAATCTCAGTCCTTTCTGGCTAGTAAAAATATACTTGATATGACTCTTAATTTTTTTTTAAGATTGATTTATTTTTATTACAAAGTCAGATATACAGAGAGGAGGAGAGACAGAGAGGAAGATCTTCCGTCCACTGATTCACTCCCCAAGTGAGTGCAACGGCCGGTGCTGTGCCGGCCCGAAGCCAGGAACCAGGAACCTCTTCCGGGTCTCTCACGTGGGTGCAGGGTCCCAAGGCTTTGGGCCGTCCTCGACTGCTTTCCCAGGCCACAAGCAGGGAGCTGGATGGGAAGTGGAGCTGCCGGGATTAGAACCGGTGCCCATATGGGATCCTGGCGCACTTAAGGTGAGGACTTTAGCTGCTAGGCCACGCTGCCGGGCCCAACTCTTAAAATTTTTTTATGCAGACCTATTTCTTGACATAATGTGATTTATCAAGAAAAGTGTTCCAGGTGTGCCTAATTTTGTTACTGTTTACTGAAGCATTATCCATGTCTGTTGCATTCATGTGTCAGTTCGCTAATTGGTTTTCTTTCTATATTTTTTAATTACTTATGAAAGTGGGGGAGTCAATTTCTAAAAAAAAATATATTGAGGTACTCTGATATCAGGTGTATGTGTAATTGTTGTGTAATCCTGATCAACTGACCCCTTTATCATAAAAGTTATTTTTTTTATCTCTTGTAACATTTTTGACTTGATAGTCCGTTTTGACTAGTTTTAGTATAGCCACTCCAAATTTCCTTTATCATTTGCACGAATTATCTTTTCCCATCTTTCACTTTCAACCTATGTGTGTCCTTAAACTTAATGTGAGTCTCTTGTAGACAGCATAGAACTGAATAAACTTTTAAAAATCTATGTGAGGGGACAGTGTTGTGGCAGAGCTGATAAAGCCATCGGGGGAGTGAGCCAGTGGATGGAAGATCTCTCTCACATTGTATGTGTCTCTGTGTGTAATTAAAAATCCATGTGGCCATGTTAGTCATGTGTTGGAAGTTTTATATACTTATGTTTAATGTAGCTATTGAAAGAAAAAGGTTTATTATTACCATTTAAAAAACATTTTCTCTTTATTAGTTCTTTTCATCTCTTCCCATCTTCTTTTGTATTCCAGTGAGTTTTTGCTTTATTTGCTTTGATTCCTTGCAGTTATCTTGAGCCTTAAGCCAAGCATCATATAATTAATTGCATGTGGAAATTACTGTTTGCTTTTGACTATGGTATTGGTATGCCATTTTTGTCTTCATTGTGAATCCATTAGAGCATTTTCGGATAATAGTTATTCTTAATTCCTTTGTCTTTTAACTTTTACATTAAGAGTAACAGTAATTTATTTATCACCCTCACAATATTCTGCGTTTGGCTGTATGTTTATAAAGCTGGAGTATTATGCTTTTTGATGTTTTTAGGTTGCTTTCTGGTGTCTTCATTTCAAATGCAACAAGTCCTACGCACACGTCTTGTAATCCAAATCTAGTGGCGATAAAGTCCCTCTGAACATCTGAATTTCCCCTTCATCTCTGAGGGTTGATTTGGATGGCCAAGCTGCTCTGAGTACTTTCGATGTGGGACCACTGCAGTCTCTCTTGGACGATTCTTCTGAGAAATCTGCCAATAGTTTCATAGAAGTTCCCTGACAGATGCTGGGCTGCCTTGGAAATTCTTCATCTTTTGTCAATTTGGTCATAATATGTCTTAGTATGTATTTCCAGAGTATTTTTTTTTTCTCTGAACTTCATGAATTGAGATGTCCAGTTTTCTCCTAACACTGATGAGATTTCTGCCATTCTTTTTTTTTTTTTTTAAGATGTATTCATTTTTATTGCAAAGTCGTATAAAGAGGAGTAGAGACAGAGAGGTAGATCTTCTGTCCTAAGTGACCTCAATAGCCAGAGCTGTGTCAATCTGAAGCCAAGCCTCCTTCGGGCCTCCCACGTGGGTGCAAGGTCCCAAGGCTTTGGGCCATCCTTGACTGCTTTTCACAGACCACAGGCTGGATGGGAAGTGGGGCCACTGGGACTAGAACCTGAACCTACATGGCATCCTGGAGCACTCAAGGCAAGGACTATAGTCGCTAGGCTATTGCACCAGGCCCACTGCCATTGTTTCTGTAAAGTTGCCTCTGTCTATCTTCCGTCTGGGATAATTACATGCATAAAATGGCTTACTTGATAGTCTCTCTTTAATCTCTTAGATACTCATCACTCTTTTTTGTTCTTTTTATCTTTTTGTTGCTTTAACTGAATAATTGTAAAATCACATGCATGTGCTGATGTTCACTGATTGCTTCTTCATCAAATTTTCTATTGAAGCTCTCTATTTTATTTTTCAGTTCACTTATTGTATTCTGCAGCTTGATATATCTGGTGAGTTTTTCCTTTCTATTTATTTGTTGATATTTTAATTTTGTATCATTTTCATAATTTCACTTAGCCATCTATATTTTTGAACATGGAAACTACAGAGCTTCCTTAAAGTAGTTATTAAGAATTTTTTTGTGTGGCAACTCATTTGCTCTCACTTCTTTAGGATCAGCTAAGGAAGTTTCACATTTGGGACTTTGGTAATATTATAGGTTGTTAATATTTGTGTTCTCTGGAGTTTTTGCCTTTGAAGAAAGCAGGTATCACTTTCTGGACTGATTCAACAGGAAAAGAGTTTCCCCACCCTGCTCAGCCAGAGATTCTGGAAACCTCTCAGAGCTTTTCAGTGGAAGTGCGTGCTCTGCTTCGCCCCCTCCCTTCTAAAGTGTGGAAGTCTCAGGGTTGTGCTTCTGCTCCCAATCTTGCGGCACCTTTCTGGCCACAGTAAGCTACTGATTCCTTCTCATTATTCTTAAGTGTTCCTAAGGGTCTAAGCTATAACAATTTCATTATCATTTCATGTGAGCTGAGATAGAACTTAGCAATTAGGGCCACATACTTAATGTCCTGTATAGAGGGGGCACATGCCATGTTTTCTTTCTCTCCAAGGGAAATAGCAAGTTCTCAGGAGATCTTCTTCAGTGATTGGCTACATCCAACCTCAAGAAAAAGTTGTGGTAGATAAAAATAAAATTATTATCCTTATCTGCTTCAATGTAGCTATCCAAGATGTGTTGCTTGCCACATATACTACCATTGCTTAACTGTATTTTTGAATGTTTATGAAGGCATTTTGATCTACATATACTGCTGACATGTGAATATATTTGCCCTAGTAGAAGTCAACAATTTCCCCGTATAGCTAATTTCATTCTCTTGGATTATCAGTATCAGTCAACCAAGTATAAACATTGATCCCTTTTCTCTGCTTAATAGGTATTAAAAGCTGAAGTTGTGCTGCTGAAAAGTTTCTTGAACGTCTTTATTCACTTTTTTTTTCAATTTAAGATGTTATTCAATTATTTCATTGTGCTCCTAATTGATCTCATAATCTCTCCAGTATCCTGTGGTACTTTAAATACCTTTGGTTATTCTGCATTGGTTTGGAGTCAAGTCTTATTTTGCTAGTTTTGGTGGTCAAAGATAAGGCATTTAGGTCATGAAGACATAGATGCAAATTCTGTCTTCACAATTTCCTATGTAACTTGCTCAGGAAACTTTTCTAAGACTAGTTTCCATATTCATAAAAGAGCAATGATAAAATCAATCATAGTTCCCAACCTCTAGAATTCTTATGAGTAATAAAAGAGCTATAGTCTCTTTTAAGTGTTCAGTTTTGTGACAAGCATTTAATATACTCATTTCATTTTCCTCTGCTGCATCAGTCACTGTACCTATTACCTAATATGCTTTGTGTGCTTTCTGATACCCTTTGAAATATTACCTCTTCATTATTTTGCTGAAATGATTTAATTGGTCACTTTTTTCTTGATGTTGTCTTGCACAATCATACTGACAGTTGGGTTTGTAGCAATGTACCATAGCTACATATTTGAAAGACCCTTTACCATTCTACAGTTTAACATCCTTCAATGTAGGGATTACAATTAATTCATTTTCATAGCTTTAGCACCTATGAGGCATTTATTTATTTAAAAGGTAATAGGACAGAGAGATGAAGAGAGACATACTGGAAAATGTTTTCAACCCATTAATTTATTCCCTAAATAGCTGTGATGGCCAGTGCTGGGCCAGGAGCCAAGATCTCAATTTTCATCTTCCTCATGGGCTCATAGGTGGCAGAGACTCAAGTACTTTGGCTACCTTTTACTGCCTCCCTGGCACATTAGCTGAAAGGTGGATTATAAGCAGAGTAGTTGGGACCTGAAGCAACACTTAGACATTTGTTGGTATGTGCAGCTGTCTACCTTTTCTCTCCCTATTTGGTGACATTGGTGAAGAAGTAGCAATTTTATAACAGTAGCCTGGTTGGTGGAAGTCCCCCAGAAGTCATTCCTTACCTGTAGCATCCTCCTGCAGCAGTCCTCCGTCCCACACATCTCCAAACCCCCTTTCCTGGGCATTCCACAGCCCCCTCCTCCCTCCCACACATCTCCAGACCCCCTTTCCTGGGCAATCCACAGCCCCCTCCTCCCTCCCACACATCTCCAGACCCCCTTTCCTGGGCAATCCACAGCCCCCTCCTCACTCCCACACATCTCCAGACTCCCTTTCCTGGGCAATCCACAGCCCCCATGAGCCCTCAGGTCCCAAGCCCAGTCCTCTGGTAGTGTGCCATGCCAGCCTGGGACTCTGCCTTGCCTACCCAGGGCCAGTGCCCACTTGTGTGTAGGTTTCCAGACCCGATCTGGCTCTTCCTGCCCTCTATGCTGGTTCTCAGATCTGCCAGTGGGTGTTATGTGCTGGCTCAGACTAGTCCATCCCCAGATCTGACCCACATGTATGCTGGTGGGCACTGTAACTTGGAATAGTCTAGGCTGCTCCTTGCCTTGCTTCATGTGGGTTCCTGCAGAATCTGCGTCTCGGTGAAGGAGTTTCCCAAGCTCCTCCATCGAGTCTCCTCCCAGTGGCAGTTCATGCACACACCAGTGGGTCGTTGGCCCTGGTTGGCTTTGTCCACCTCCTGTCTGGTGAGAACAGTGGCCTTGCTCTTCTGGTCACACCCATTCTGGTTCCTGTTGGTTGTTGCAGCCCAGCGTTACCTGGTACTCACCCAGACACAGCTTTCATGAAGTTCAGAAGGAGTCAAGACCTAGTCTGGTCAGTTTTACACCCGTGAGTACCAGACCCCTCACATCTTTTTTAATATATATGTATTATTTTTTTTTTATTGATTACATTGCGTTATGTGACACTGTCTCATAGGCTCTGGGATTCCCCCAACCCCTCCCCATACCCTCCCCCCAAGGTGGATTCCTCCACCTTGTTGCAGTATTACAGTTCAAGTTCAGTTAAGATTCTTTCATTGCAACCATAGAGTCCAGCATCTTATTGTCCAGATAAATTCAATGGTTTCTTGGGGAGACCATCTCTGGTCTGAAAGCAGAGCTGGCAGAATATCATCCCGATCAATTAAAAGCCACAACATAACATCAACATCAATTTACAACATTATGGAATTAATTGACATGGTATTGAGTAACAAATATGTTTAAAAATGCAAGTTCTTAACCGCATCCTCTGACTACTTTATTGACATTTCAATTTTGGTTTATACACAGAACCGGCTGCTATTCACCTTAAAATGGCTATAGGGTACTGTTCAGCTGTCTCATGACTATTTTCATTTTAGCATTCAGCAGTTTATAGTGTTGAAGCCTAATTTTGCTGAACTTGGCAGTTTTGGGATAGTCTTAACTGGCTTATAACTCTAACAAGGCATATGTCAACAGTTGAAATATAGAACAGTTTTAGGAGGGGTGTGCAGAGAGATCTTCAATACCTTAGTGAGGAGCAACTAATCTTTGTGACCTACCTAGTAAGGCATGTGTGAGTCCATGCTGACCATTTCCTGTCTCGTTCCAGGCTATCCTTGTTGTTCTCTGTCTATCTATTCCAATTTGTGTGCATGCGTGCGTGCGTGCGTGTGTGTTATGGGGTGGGGGGCTTCGGAGCGACCCTGATGGTCACTGCAAGATAGGGTGGGGATCCAAAGTTGGAACTAAGTGAGGACCAAAGAAAGCTCTCTCCCTAGTCCTGAAGGAAGCTTACTGTTCCGATGACCTTGGATCCTACAAGGAAGGGTTGGGGCTTCTTCCATCCTATGTGGTAGATCCAAATGGGGGTGGATGACCTCAGAGTTCTTGGCCTCTGAAGGAATTCCAGTTCCCCATGGTCTGCTTAGCAGTTGGGATGTAGTCCTTGGTGCCCATACTAATAGTCCTTGGTGAGGATCCGGGAGTCCCCAGGGTTGGGATACAAGCCTCCTCCTGTCCACTTGCTCCACCCTGGGGTCCACCCCCTACTTTGTGCATATGACCTCCTGTTAAGAGGTTGTCAGGATCACTCTTGATTCCACCTGTTTATCTTTGTAGTTTTACTATTGTCTAATGCTGATTTGAGTCTGTTGTCCATAAGTTACCTGTTATGTTCCTGATAGGTTATACTTTACCTCTTCCTCTCATATTCTAAGGAGATGGAAGATTTCTCTGCTCTCCCTCCCCATTTCCGAGTAACATTGGGTCTTAAAAGTATATTAGGTTTTACACTTCTTTGATGTAGATCATAAGCAGTCTGACTCATATCGATTGTCAGTTCATTGGTTACGTCACAATATTTTATTGCATGAGATACAGGCTGTTTGGGATTGAAATAATATTACTGTTTTTTGGATTGACATCATTTCATGACAGCCACATCAATAACAACAACAACAACATTAACAACAAATTATAGCACCCTGAAAAAATAACATGCCACTGAGTGACCAACACATGTGTGACAAAAA